TAATGATGCTGATACGATAATGAAGGTGATGATAACAATAATAATAATGATAACAGAAGTAACAATAACAATTTAGTGATGATGAAAATAGTAACTACAGTGATAATGGTAATGATAATAACAAAATAACAATGATAATGATAATGATAATAATAACAAAATGACTACTACTAATAATGATAATAACAATGACAATAAAATTACAATAACAATAATGATAATGATAATAATGATAATATTAATGAAAAAAGGAAACAGCCAGAAAAATAATCGGAGCAAGGAAAATATTAATTAAGAAATAATAAGGTAGAGAAATAAAAAGGAAAAATGGAAGAAATATATATATATATTCTTTTTTTTTTTTTTTGGGGGGGGGGATCCAAATACGGAAGAAACATGAGATCTGATCCGCACCTTAATTTCGTATGACAGACAGACGAATAAAAATCATATATAAACAGAAACATATATTTATTCACGTGAAACTGTGTGAAAAAAAACAAGCGAAAAGATCATAAAATAAATCAACGGCGCCTACTACGACCATATCCATTCCGCCATCGCTCTCAAATATATGAAGAAGGTCATTTGTCTATTCAATTTCAGTATTTTGTCGCCTTAATTACTATTCAGATTGATTTCTTTGTGCATGCGCGAGTGAGTGTGAGTGTGAGTGTGAGGGTGAGGGTGAGTGTGAGGGTGAGGGGATGTGTGTGTCCGTGTGTGTGTGTGTTTGTTTGTGTGTTTGTATGTGTGTGTGTGTGTTTGTGTTTGTGTGTGTTTGTGTGTGTGTGTGTGTGTGTGTGTGTGTGGGTATGTGTGTGTGTGTGTGTGTGTGTGTGTGTGTGTGTGTGTGTGTGTGTGTGTGTGTGTGTGTGTGTGTGTGTGTGTGTGTGCAATATCTATTTTGATGATGAATAATGAAACAATATATACATTTTTTTCAATTATCCTGAGTGCTAAATGTGCTAAAATCTGGTCATCGTTTTCGCTATTATAATTCTTACATGCATCCGATCAAAACAAGTCTAAAAACTTACTCCCAATACATGTGCTTTATGATAGCTTATGTATTGAAAGGAAAATCTTATATATTTCTAATAAAATTGGAATTCAACCTCGCTCTCTACTTCTATCTGACACGTATGCAATTTATATTTTCTTTGTATTTGTCAGTGCATGTCAAAGCTTTGACACGTTATCTAAATATGTTTACTATTGAAATACTCATTTCCCGGTGTGCGAAAAGTTATCTAAACGCTTGTTTGTTAAGCCGGATATTGAGGAGTTTGAAGAGAGAGAAATCATCTAGAAAAAAAAGCAGGGAATCGTATATTTGATACTCTTTATGATGATGAATATTCATTAATTCCTGAGTATTCACTTCACGACTAATCCCAAAAAATGCTAAATAATAAAAAAGTCCGATGGTATATAACGTCATAATGACATATGGTAAATCTGAGGTGAAAACGAGGTTGCAAAGCTGACACCTCTCTGCAAGATAGACGCAAGGCAATCTGCAACTGCAAATAGAGACCACATCATTAGGATAAGGGAAAGTAATTTCTCTCCCAGCGAATTATCCTAAGAGCCTGGGTATCTTTCCCTCTCGGTGGTCTACAGGTGAATAAGCTGGGGGGGGGGGGGAGGAGGAGGAGGAGGGGAGGAGGAGGAGGAAGGAGGAGGAGGAGGAAGGAGGCACCCTAAACGACCGCCCCTCGTTCCTGGTGCCACTACATCAAGGCATATATAAAGTTCATATGAAGACCTACAGCTGTAACAAGCCGCATGGTGAACAGTGCGACTACATGCAGATGGGATTCAACATAAAACGTTATCAAAGACAGGTTGAACAAACGACACTGCCAACATCAGCTCCAGTTCGCTCAGTAGTATGTGGAGAGACCAACGGAAGCTGGAAGAGAGATAACAGGAATTTAATTAACTTTTTTATTCAATTTCTTCATGAATTAATTTAGTTGAAATATTGATTAAGATGTGTTTATACCTAATGGTGCCCTATACGTCATATTTTACGTTTTGACTTTCTTTTTTTTATTCAATTTGTTCATGAATTAATTTAGTTGAAATATTGATATAGATATGTTTATATATAACGGTGTCCTATACGTAATATTTTACGTTTTGACTTTCTATCATTATTTACTTTTCAGATGGGACAAACGGCATATCTATGAAACAGCGAAGAGTGACCACGTGACCTGTAATATACGGATTTTCATGCATGGCGTTGGTGAGATTCAACTTAGACAAATATTTAGAGTTTTATTTGATTTAGCTGCCATGCATAAATGTTTAAGGAATGGAGCGTTTTCATGCTTCAAAAAATATGCAGATAAAACTGAAAATTGTAGTGTTAAAAGAGGGAAATACCACCTCGCTTCCATAAACGAACAATTCGAGGATATCACATTTTAAACAATATCTCACTACAAAGTCAAAGATAGCTAATATTACATGTTTTGTTATCACCTGT